ACAAAACGGTCCATTACCACCACCGATATCGCTCCAAGCACATGCTTCTGGAAGAATCATCAATCGCGAGGCAGTGATGCGAAAGGTGCTGGCAGAACACTTTTCCGCCACAATGCGCCAGATTATTTATTTCGACAATGGCCGAGACCAACGCCCCTCTTCCCCACGATTACCGTCTCTTGAGTTTGCAAGACGCAGATTCTCTGAAGCACATAGGCCCATTGAGACAAACCAATCCTCTCGAGGAACTCCCGAGGAAACTTCTTCAAAGCATCCTCGAAAGCATTGACTCGAATTGCCGTTGCGCAGCTTGCCGTGTCAAGATCCCGAATGCGCTGGACCCTCTCTCCAATTTCGACCCCGCGTTCGTCATAAGCCCCGCCCCGAGCTTCCCACGGCACCCGAAGTCACCCTGACAGAATACCTCACGTACCGAGTTCCCCCGGCGGTCTGGCTTTGCTCCTTTGCAAACCTTTCCAGACTTCTCAATACGCCTCAAACATCACCAATCGAGTCGAGAAATCACCATGGCTCCCCCCGGAATGCTCTACGTTACTATGCAGCCGAAGCCTGAACTGGCTATCGAGCAGTTCCACGAGTGGTACAACAACGAGCACGGCCCAACCCGCCTGCGTCTCCCCCAAATCTTCACCAACGGCCTGCGCTACCGCGCCAACGACGGCAAGGAGCCGACCTACCTCGCCTCCTACGATGTGACGGACATGTCCCACCTCGAGACACCCACATACACTACGCTCCGCGCAAACAGATCTACCCGTGAGGCCGAGACCATTGGCCAGGTGGCCGTCACCAGATACTTCTTCGACTTGGTCATCGAGCAAAAGGCCCCTTTGTTCATCCCCATTGAGCAGCTTTCCGACATGGAAGCCGAGGGCATCGAGCTTGTGGCCATTGAGACCACTCTGAAGGACGAAGCAGACGAGGCCGAGTTCAAGAAGTGGTACGCCGACGAACATATTCCGATGCTCTCCAAGGTTCCCGGTTGGTTGAGGACCCGTCTCTTCAAGATTTCCTCCATTGGCGACGGCGTCGGCAGCAAGACCACCTTCTTCGTGCTCCACGACTACGCCCGTACAAATGGCTTAGGCGGTCCTGAACACAAGGCCTCCACAGCTACTCCTTGGGCAGCAGAGATGGTCAAGAAGGTCGCAGGCATGAACCGCCGTACCTACTCTCTCTTCTACGTCTTTGGTCCCGCGTCTCGCGACCTGGAAAACTTGGCGAAGCTACCAGCCACGGCCTCCACTTTCACGGCCCCGGATGGCAAGACTACGACTGTTCCCGGAAAGGACGAGGTCATCGACTCGTACATCACGGCCGAGGACCAACTTTCGATCCCTTACAAGCTGGAGGGCAATACCTCTCCCAAGGCACCTACTGTAGCATTCTGCAATTCTTTGCTTACGTCCCTGCACATGTGGGATCCAATTGTCAAGATCTTGAAGGAACAACGTCCGGACTTGCGCATTCTGCGGTACGATACGCGAGGCCGACACGCGATCCCGAGCCCGCCCGTGCCGGCGACGCTGGACTTGCTTGCCTCTGACCTGCGCACCGTTCTCGATGCACTCCGCATCCCCAAGCTGCACGTCCTTATCGGAGTGTCGATGGGAGGCGCAACAACAACCAACTTTGCGCTCAAGTACCCTAATAGATTGAAGAAATTCATCGCCTGCGATTTCAACGTGACGTCGAGTGCGGCCAACACCCAGGCCTGGAAGGATCGTATCGCGGTTGCAGAGGAGAACAGCGGAGCCGGAATCGCAAAGCTAGCCGAGCAGACGGTAGGTCGGTGGTTCCATCCGGCCACGATGGAGAAGGAGGAGGTTGTGAAAGCCATGACGGAAATGGTTGCAGTCAATAACGTAGAGGGCTTCAGATATAGCTGCCAAGCGCTGTGGGACTATGATTTGAAGCCAGCGCTCGGATCCTGCCAAGTTCCCGGCTTGCTGGTTGTGGGTGATGGCGACGCCAAAGGTGCGCTGGTCAAGGCAATGGAGGGTTTCAAGGATGCCTTGGGCGACCACGGCACCGAGTTGAAGATTGTGCCAAACGCCGGCCATCTTCCCATGTGGGAGAGCCCTGCAGCGTTTTGGGAAGCCATCCAGGCATTTTTGTAAAACAGTTCTCTTAAAGAGAGTTTTCTCATCGAGCGCAACAAAAAGCTTGGCCAAGAATGATTCAATCGAGAGTTTCGCCGCAAACAACTCTGCTGACATGCTCGGCCGGGATTAAGAGGGGACGCGAGGGGCACGAAGGGGGGCCATTAACGCGATCGATCTGCCGTGAGACATGGGCTGCCCATACCGAGCAGAGATGTCCCCTGCACTGCTTGCAACTCACAACCTGCAGACATGAATTGGTGTTCACCGCCGTTGTCGTCATATCGAGCAGAAGTTCTGATATGCAGCGATCCTGGAGAGTGCTGTCAGGGGAGGGGGCTTGACGACCATCAAAGTCTATCTCAAACAAACACTAACCTAATCAAGGCTGAGGCTAGGACACGATTCGTGGCGCGGCGACCGTTGGGCGACCAGCCCTGTCGAATGCGGCCATGTACAGGAATCACGCGCCGCAACGCCGTCTCGGCGCGACGCTGTGAAGTGCGGCTCATGAATCACGCCAAAAATAAGGGGATGAGGGCAAGACTCGACGTTCGCGTACGAGAGCAGCGGTCGCGGCATGCATCCAAGAGTCTTGAAAGTGTGAAGTTGAGTGAGAGACTGACATGTTCTATTGAGGCCAGACTTCCAGGGGCTTGAAGGCTGGGTAGGCGAGTCGCTTGACGGTTGACAAGTTGACAAAGCTGCTGACAGTCGCTGACAGGTATGCGGGCGCCGTTTCATCGAAAGTGCCCACAGACGACGTGTTGGAAAGAATCAGACTGATGATTGACTGATCTCTCAGTGGACGAACCCGTAGGACCATGGAACGAGACGTAATCGCCAATGACCTAGAGGCTCGGCGCATTAAAGAAGAAACGGTCTGGCGGCAGTTGTCTTGGCGAGTTCATCTCGACTACGCGGATCGACGCATGGGAATGCCCGAAACGAGATTCACTCACAATGCGACAGGCCAGCGGCCCAGTAGGCTCAGCAGCACGCCACGACGGGATCCATATTCCATAGTGAAAGGGGGCAGACCGGACGGCGGGAAGTAGGACCTAACAAGGCAAAGAAAATTCAATCGGAAGAGATACACTAGAAAAAAAACGTGGGCGCCAACGAGAAATGTGGATCAATACTCAGGGGAATATGGCGCCAGGAACCACACCTTAATTATTCAGACCATGCGGAGAAGTGCGAAACCGAGGCACTTGCAACAACTCACTGGCAGTTTTACTGATGGAGTCACAGAAGCTCGACTGTCTGGAAAGTGAGATTATGGATAAGGGCTGAGAGAGAGAGAGACTAACGTGAAAGTCTGCACCACTGGAGAATATCCACACTCGGACTGTGCGGTACGGCTGTCATTGAGACTCACTTAAGAACGAGACTACGGGGATATGCATATTTGCAGGTTCCTTTAGCGAAGATGGGGGGGCGTATCCGAAAACTCGTCACCACTAGCCCCTTAACTTGAAGTCATCATCTTCGGCTCCGAACCTCTTGGACTGTGCATTAATAGCACGAATCACGATATCTCTGAAGAGCTCAGCAACTTGCAAGAGTAAGACAAGCAGCTGCCAGCAAGAGTGTGGTGGCATTTAGGTAACGCGCATCCGATCCTCCTATGATTTACCTTCCCATATTAAGGGCGGCAGGAGGGTCTGTTTCAAGCCCGGCGCTACGTCTGAGATTCCGGTGCGCCCGTGCTGCGCCGTATCTGTACAGTTCCCGCGGGCCAACCTCTCAACGCGGCAACTCTGCCCCATGACTAAGTTGAATAGAGTCTTTTCAAGTTCTCACTCTGGCAAGTCTGGCAAATTCTGGCAACTCGCTTGCGTGCTTTCTGACTGCCTTTCAGGTACTGTGGCCAGGGGGTTACCATGGCTATTACGGGATCCCCTGCTTCTACCATGCAGCCGATTCTGGGCGAAAGAGTCGTGTTCGCCAGGGCTTCTTGGTGATGATGAGTAAACTATTGGGACTGGGCATTGGGTATGTGCGGATATTCAATACTAACCCAAGCAGCACAGCATGCATACCCAGGTGACTCCATCATGACCGTCACCTTCCTTGCGCCGCACTAAACCCCAGCAGGCCCAGCCATGATCCCAGCCATAGGCCCCCGGACCAGATCATGGCTATCAACTCCCAGGGCTTTGACCATGGGGACGACGGCTGAGCGCCCAGACAATCCAACGGCAGACGTTACGAAACTGAGCGCCTACGCCGCTCAGTGGAACGGTCCATCTCATCTTTCCTAGACCGGTATCCCTTCCAAATCGGAGCACATCCGGCTGCTGTGACGCTGTGTTGGACCTGTTGGTCTCCTCCCCCCCGGCCTTGACGGGTGCCACCCCCCCCCCCCCAAAATTCCACCACTTTGGTTTGCATATTGGTGTTTCGGTCTTATGAAGTTTCTGCCATCTCCACCTAGCCCTCTCTCCCAGTCTTCCCACTTCAGGGTTGAGGGGGCGGCTCAGCTATCAGGCGCTTGTAGGACTATCTTGGCAGCCAACTGACCAGGTTAGGAACGATTGAGAGCTGGAAGAGGACGAAAGGGGGTTGCTTGCTTGCTTGGCATCTTACACAACAGTCTCCCGGTGGGATAAATAACACGACGATGTTCTCGCTTTTTTTTGATATCCTTTCCCTCTTGGTTCTTCATCCAACATTGCAGGTCGCACTCACTCTTTGGTTCTTTCACCACTCCATTCTTTTTTTCAAACCGTCAACCGTCAGTTCTTCACTGTGTGAAGCTGGGACATTCTTTTGCAACACTCTTACATCCAACGAATTCAAGCTCATTCATTCTCTTCCCAACCCTCCTCCTTTTTTTCAGGAACATCCCAACAAGCCCGACCTTTTTCAAAAATGTCTTCCGTCAAGTCCACCATCGCCCTCGTTGGCGCCTTCGCCGCTAGCGCTCTCGCCCACGGCACCGTCACTGGTTTCAAGTTCGACGGCGCCTACGAGGCCGGCTACAAGCTCGACTACTACTACCTCAAGCAGAACGGAGGCACTCCCCCCTCCATTTCTGCCTGGTCCGCCGAGAACCTCGACAACGGCTTCGTTGACGGCACCGGTTACGCTTCCGCCGACATCAACTGCCACAAGAACGGTGCTCCTGGTGCCGTCGCCTCCACCGTTGCTGCCGGTGGCACCGTCGACTTTGAGTGGTCCGCCTGGCCCGAGTCTCACTTCGGTCCCGTCCTCACCTACGCCGCAAAGGTCGACGGTGACGACTGGGCCTCCGTCGACAAGACCACCCTCAAGTGGGTCAAGATTGACGAGTCTGGCATTGATATCGCCACCCAGGAGTGGGCTGCCACCAAGCTCATTGCCAACAACAACACCTGGTCCACCACCATCCCCTCCGACCTCGCCGCCGGCAACTACGTTCTCCGTCACGAGATCATTGCCATGCACGGTGCTGGCTCCCTGAACGGTGCCCAGAACTACCCCCAGTGTGTCAACGTCAAGATCACTGGCTCAGGTACCGCCAACCCCGAGGGAACCCTCGGCACTGAGCTGTACAAGAACACCGACGCTGGTATCCAGTTCAACCCCTACGGCACTATCTCCAGCTACACCATCCCCGGCCCTGCCCTGTACGGCTCCGGCTCCGGCTCTGGTTCTGGCTCCGGCTCCGGCTCTGGATCTGGCTCCAACAGCACCACCCCCGCCACCCCCTCTGCTCCCTCCACCACCGCCCCGTCTGCCACCCCCGCCGTCTCCGGCGCTGCTGACGATGCCTGCGCCAAGAAGGCTCGCCGCCACGCTCGCTCTTTCCGCCTCCGCCACTAAGCGTTGGTAGAATGCAGTGTGTGTGCAGATGAAAAACTAGGAGGAAAGAAAACACAAGACCTTCTTCCACTTGGAAGAAGGTTTCTGAATGAGCACATTGATTCGTTTCTCAACAACCATGTAAATAGATTTATACCCGGTGTATATATCGCTGCAAGCACAACACCCTTTTTTCAGTCGACCACCACCATGGGCGTCTAGCGCACCTTTTTTGCTGCTGGGCGTCTTTCAAGCTTTGCAATGTATATCTGTTCAAACAATCTTCTCTGTGCCTGCCTCGTTCTGTGAAGTGACTGCAACTCGTGATGAAAAGTCCAGCTCGACTTGGCTTACCGCTGTACCAATTCCCAGGCCTTGCTTGGCGCGATGTTCAGATCACCAAGTGGTATCTGTAGTTCATCCTTTGAATACGGTGCCGGGAGTAGCGCTGATCAGAGACTGGGTGCTATGCTGTTGGCGCCCGCTGACCTGTCGCAAGGGTAAATTCCTTGAACCGTGGACCAGTACACCTCTCTATAAAGCGTGTTGCTAGCTTCCGGAGAAGAGATTTCAATGGATGACGAATATGGTAAGCAGACCGCTGTGCCGCAGGCAGTGTGGATAGCCGTCACGTATAGATGAAAATGTGGGGAGCCAGCGGAAGAGAGATTTGAAAAGGGGGACGGGACGAGAATGTGAAGGCGAGCCGCTCGTGACCGGTATCTGAGGGTTTATCCCTACGAGCCCATCGACTGATAACGAAGGTCTTGGTCCATGACACGGGATGAATGCCAAGACGCTGTCGAGGGGTGGCTGCTCCAGGTATATATACCGATTCTGCGTGGGTTCCATGGAGGGTGTGGTGGAGTAGATAGTGCCGGCGTGAGCAGATTTGAGGTCGAATGAGTGCGCAAACGGGAGCAATCTGCCGCGCGGATGGAATATGCCGATTGAGCTCGAGCATTGACGTGGACAGGAGGAGGCATGCCGATGGGAGTTTCTGCCGAGTAACCGTCTGTTTGCAACATTAAGCTAGATGATTCCGCAAGAGACATTCGGAGGGCGGTGCCGATTCAACGGGATGGTTGCGCCGTTGTGGGCCGAGGGAGTGGAGTGAGAGTACCTTTGCATCAATGACATGCTCGACATTGTTCCAGCAGTGGGCCTTGAATGCCGGTATTGCGAGAAATTCGGGATTCCTTACTGGTGGAGGACTTGACGTATGACCTCCTTGGGGATTGTATGTCAGGTGGGTGCTGCTTTTCCTCCATGAAACAGACATTTCCATCCCTGGCTTGCAATCACGTTGCTGCCGTCAAAGTCGATCGCATGCGTTGAATAGCACTCTTGAGTCCAATGGACCTTGGTATGGAGGCTTGGTTCTTGGATTTGAGCTGGTCATGGAGAAGATCGGACTGACTAGAGGAGAGAATTCCGGAGGATATGACGGTTCCTGCAGAGGATACCATGGAGTGTTGAACACCAAGAAGCCGATCAGCTTTTTCCAGCAGACTTTCGACAATCTGGGAGAAAATGATGCCTTGAAGATGGGCATCTCCTATCGGAAAGGCGCCAAACTTGATCCCTTCGATCGGCTGGATTGGGTCCCAAGCAATTGCCTCTAGTCTCTTGTGTATCTGGATAAATATCTCCTCAAATATTGTGATCATTTGTACGTAGCAGCTAGTAATCACGAGAACTAGCGCCTGATTGAGTACACCGGTGATGGGGACAGCGGTTTGAGAAGCAAGCGGCGAAGATGCTCTGCTCCACACAAGCAGCGAGGGATTCAACGATCCAGACTCAGAGCATGAGGTGCTCTGTGCCAGTGCCGGTTGAACGGGCAAAGTTCTAGCCGTCGGTGAAACACCTTGATGGATGCTGTCCGTTTTGTTCATGCCCGACAGAATGCCAATAAAGTCCTGGAAGGCAACAAGGGCTAGTTCCGGCACAGTATGACCGCCTACGCTGAGGATTGAGGATGAGTGTGTGAAGGAACAAAAGTCGAGATGCGGTCTATTGATCTCAATACTTGACAGATAGGAGTGGAGGTCGACGTTGATCTTTGAAATTTTGACGAAAGCTTCATTTTGAATTGCCGGATCTGCGATCTGAGATGTGCTGGCTATGCGCTCCATCTCCTCTTCTGCCATCTGGGCGGAGATGGAGCCGTCCAAGTGAGGATCGAGGGACATATCCCAGGGGAAGTCATCCAGATGGTAGTCCAAAGAGATAGTTGTATCGGTGGTGATTCCATGGCCAAACTCTGCCAGGCTCCCTGAGGAGTCTAGTGGCGCATCACCAGGAAGGTCATCATGGACCCCAGAGACGGCCGGTTGTTGTTCATCGTCTGTGTTCGTGGAAGAGACAGAAACCTCTGGCTGACGCATCGATATCGCGTGATTCAAGGCCCAGCGTCTCGACGGTCTTCCAATCCGGCGCTGATGGCCGGCGATACAGTCAAGGCCCCGCTCTGCGCATCGCGTGCAGCGCGTCTCGTTCTCGTCGTCTTGGCGGGAGCATCGGAGCTTCTGGCGACGGCATCGCTCGCAGGCAGACCGCTTCTGGTTCGGGTGCGTTGCGAAGGTCATGCTGGTCGACGCAGTGATGTATGCTTCGACTGAGTCCTACGGCATAGCTGTGGATGAGATGGGCAGGAAGGTATCGGAAGCCTTGCAGGCTTGACTCAGTCGGAGGCTTTTCGTCGTCTGATGGTCAGATTCCGGAGGTTTTCAGGGTCTTGGGGTACAAGGCACCTTTGCCGGCGGTACGTACTCACTCGAACTACCTACCTTACCTAAGGTACCTTACCTACGGTACCCTACTAACCTTATGGGTCCTGGCGAGCGGTACGTATTCGACGGGTCCGAGTCGGCTCCGAGTTTAAGTGCTCCCATCCTGCCTGCCTCCTTCAACCTCCTCTTAGGTTGTTTCAACGAGTACCTCAAGTGAGCTATACTTGACAGGAGAAATGAGACAGTCCTTGTTGATGCTGAGCGCCCCTGAATTCATTCCTGCTAAAGCAACCGCACTCTTGTTCAATTTTACCTTACTGTGGTCACTTGACTTGATCTGAATTGCGAAATCCACGAACATCTGAAACCCTGTTAATTCCTTGAATGGTAGCAAGTCTCACACCAGTATCTGAATTTAGGATAGTCATATCCTGAAAGAGCTTGATAGAGTTTACAGACAGCCACCTGGAAAGTAAAAGAAGCGTTAGAAAGCTCCTGAGCCCTAACTGACATGAGCACTCTAATCGTTCCTTCCTTCAGCCTTCCCGTCTGTTGTCCGCAAAGGTCGAGTGGAGTTGTCGACCTTAAATATAAAAGGCAGTTACCCTAAAGTGCTTCGCACCTTCCATCCCGAAGCACTGCTCACTGGTACGCTACCTTCGTCTCACCTCAGTTGGCTCCATGTGACTCCTCCTAAGGTAAGGTACCTAGGTACCATCACCCTCACTGCTGCTTCTCTTCTTCACCTTCTCCATTACTCGCTCCCGTCATCCCAAGTCCAGTCAAGAGCATCTCGATAACCTTCGCCTGGGTGCGTGATTCACTACCCGCCACCACTCAATGGAGTGGCCCATCCCACTGCCACCTGCCAAGAGGGCGTGCCGGCTTTTCAACCGCCTCTCTCCAGCAGACAACATGCTTCCACTAATATCTCCATCAGACACAACAGCATCCTCACCACCTCGTCTCACGGAGCCAACCACCATCGCTAGCTCGCCATCAGTCTCTCAACCCGCTCACTTTAGACACCAACAATCAAAAGAGCAGAAGCAGAACATTTTCAGAATGACATCGCCAGTCAAGTTTGATATTCCGGCGTCCGCTCGCTCCTTCACTTGCTTTTCGCGTTTGCCGCCCGAAATCCGAGAGCAAATCTGGGAGGATGCCATCTTCGAACCCGGCATGCACTTCCTACGCCTCAAGACTGCAGCTCGCATTACCCATTACCCCTCTCCGATGCCGCCAGGGTCACTCGGTGACCAAGATACCAAAGACGAAGACGATGTCCTTCTCGACTTTACTCGAGAGAGTGTACCTAAGAAAGTCTGGCCCGCCATACTGGAGCCTCGATACCCGACACCGCAAGCCAACATTTCCAGCTACATCTCTGTCAACCGCGTCCTCAACAAGCTCTCCGCTACTTGCTTCGAGTCAGCCAAAGTCGTTCGACGTCTGACCAACGCACGTGGTGGCTTGAAGCTAAAAGACGGCCGCGTCGTCTTGCTTGGCGGCTCTTCTGACGTCGTGTGCCTCGAGTACTTGTCCGCAGACGACTTTCGAAGCTGGTGTCGCATGTCTCAATCCATCAGATGCAATGAACTTGCAAATATCCGCCACGTCGCCATCCCCTACTGTCACGCCTGGGAAACCAGTGTTAGCGGTTTTCGCTGCGGCCACTGCGGCACCCGCTATTCCGGCCTCGCGACCAAAGTCTACCCCGTCCACCTCTACGAGTTTCTTGCCCAGTATCTGCCAAACCTAGAGACATTCTACTTTATTGACTACCTTATCGTTGAGAAGAACTCGAGCCTTGGCTCGTCAGATGTCAACCCGGACCAGACCACCACCCCATCATCAGATACCAACCCCCAGGAGTCTATCCTTGAACCGTCTAAGAAGCGTGAGACTGTTCCGTTGATTTGAAATGAGTGTTATACTGACTTGAGATTTGGTTAGGTACAAAGGAAGATACTGATGACGTCCCTTCATCGCTGAACAGAGTGGCTGGCATGATCAAGACATTGAAAGTCACTAGCAACACAAAGAGAGAGATCGAATTCCGGAGCGCCAATTCGACGGCGAGGGCTGTACCACATGGTTTCAAATGTAGAGGCAGAGTCTTTCACGAACCGGACGAGGATCACTGGGATGTCAAGTCTAGAGTAATCGACACCATATCCTGGCTACAAAAAAGATTCATCCTCTACGCCACCCAAAGCAAGAACAGCAAGCATCGACACCCCAAGAAGGTTCAATTCAAGGTCTTGGCATGTAAATGGAATGATAGAGAACCCGATATCCAGTCCAGACTGAAGAGAGCTGCACCCCCTGTCAAGAAAGCCTCAACAAAGAAGCCCCGGCCACAGTGCCGCAAGCAAGATGTGCCACCGGCTAAAGATCAGAAGGCCCTGTTGGTGTCACCATCATCGCCGCCACTTTCTATCTCTACCAAGGAATTCGATTATGTCTTTGGCAGAGAAGATGGATGCAACTTTGGGTTCAGTCAAGCATCTGGATTGTGATGAACTGGATATAAATTACGGTCGGGTTGGCGAGATGTGAATTGGACAAATTCACGGACAGGGTCCTGGAGGAAGCATGGAATCTTTCCCGATTCGACAGCCCCGGCGACAGTAAGGAACAATCGCGCGATCCTGGCGGTTACAAAGTAGGGAGGTTAGTTGTGTCCATGTTGTTATTGTTGTTGGCGACGACGAGCTGCTTGGCACTGAGGGTGTAAGCAATCCTAGGAAGACCACTTAATATTAATGATAGCACACGACAGAATCCTTTGGCGTGAACGAACTTATTGATGCGAAAGCAGATGCTCCAAAACGGACCATACCAGACACTGAGATACTATCCCGGGAGCGAGATGAAGCCCTACATGGGAGCCTCATGGGTATTCTGGGTTCGCTCCATCTATGGGCATTTCATCGAGGCAAATAAATACCGGGACGGCCAAACCGGTTACGACGGTGATGTCATGGCTGTTCTTCTCCCTGGACTTGAGCTGACCTTGAAAGTAGCAGATCCTCTGTCCGCCTTTTTGTTGCCTCGCCGGAGCGCATCCGGTTCAAGCCATTTCGAAGAAGATATCGTACGAGGGGCGTCAAGGTCAGATGCCTATCGCGAGGGGAGCCAACTCGGATTGGGAAATGTGTTGTTGACGATCTCCGAGCTCCCTTGACTGCCCTTGGTGGGGGTTACGGCGTGGGCGCCGATCTCTGCACTTTTGGAACCGGCTAGTGGTCTCTGGACCCCTGACGCGCGACGACTCAGGGTCCAACTGTCCGCGAGGGGTGTGGTGGATGGGTGGAAAGGGCAGAAAAGTCGCCTGGGGAGGGCATTTTTCGACTTTCCGGTCTCTTGACGAAGGAAATGTGAATGCCGGTGTCTTCCGGAGGTTCTTTTAGGCACCCTTTTTCGTAGCCAAAGCACCGATATCGCGACTATTTCCTCTCTGCGCTACGTCAGCGATCATTCTCGAGCCACACCGACCCAGGCAATGGGAGCAGAGCAAGTCGAATAACTGCGCAGCTCGATACGACAGCAGCACAGTCCGAGAAGCATCATCGAGCCGCCCACGTCATTGACACCTGGGTAATCTAGAGCTTTGGGGAAGGGGATTCAAACTGCGAAGAGTGTTTGCTGCGGACCGGAACCTTTCGCCTGGTGGCCGCTGACGCCGGGGTGGTGGCTGTGAACACAGTGAGCGCAGGAATGCGAAAACGCTAGACTGCTTTCTTGAGCAACAGAACCCCCCTCCCCTGGTACCCCATCGGATGCCTCTCCGGCGCCCCGTTGCTCGAGTCGTCCTGTTGATTGACGTCACCTTTGGCTGCGTCTGCGTGCATCTTGGCTGCAGAGTCTGGACTCGACTCTTTGTTTCTTCGTTTTCTCAACGGATGAAGATTGGCTACAAGGACAAAGTGGTATGTCGGGGTACTGCGATGCGACGGCTCATGGCATTGTCAGATTATCCATTCCCGGCAAAGCGGGTTCTTGACATGGTGTGCAAAAGGTCTAGACCCTCTGGAGCTTGAGACCCTGAGTGCATCTGCGGTGGGCGCATCGCCATCACATTTTCCAGGGGTTGCGATGCAAAGCCAGTGAGTGACCCCGCGAGCTTCCATCCGCACGTAAACCTACCTTACTCTGTGATCTGCCTTACCTTAAATGGAGCTACTATTGCTTTCTCGTGTGGCGAATATCGTCCGCGAACCACTGACTTTGTGGATATATTATTGACCGTTGTCAGAAGCTTAGAGGTGCCAGGGTCGAAAGCTCGGAACGCGCCATCACGTCACTGTCCAGATGGCGTTTTCCCGCCATTCTGGCACCCACGTTGCGGGATCTCACTTAGATGCTGCTTGATGGTGTGGTTCGCTGGGGGGGCGTTCTCTCGTCTAGCGTAAGGCTGCCTCCGCGGAACAGTTTACTGAATGGTTTCTTGAATCTTTCCAGTTGGATTTGTTCCCTCCCGCGCCAGTGGTTCGGTTTGATGCTTTTAAATACTCCGTATGTCTCCTGGTGCCCTGATGGATCGATCCGAACGCTTCCCTTAATCTGTGCCCATCGTGCCTTTACTGCAGCTATCATCCACAGCTCCTTGCATCAGCCTTTGACCTTGTCTGCTTCCAAGTTCCAGTGATACTGATGAGCTTAACGCCCTTACTACCAGTTGCTGAAGACCCACCAACCTTCCGCACCCGAACAGCTTCGGCCAAGATACGGTCCCACCCGCCTAATCAGGTGCATCCTGATCACACGGTTATCCGCCTCCGGCCTGGTCAGAACCTTTACCTTCGCCTGGAATTCCTTTCCCGCCGCAATCATGCCACCTTCGTCCACTGGGGCTGTTTATAACGACGGTCACAGGTAAGTGCTAATCGAGGCTATTTTATGGAGCAGGGTGCTGTTACTTTTGCATGTACCGCCATCCTAGAACCCTTCCCCCCCCTCCCCCCTCCTGCTGACCTATTGGCATTCCTACCATACAGAGGCCCCGCCGCATCACCGACAGCCCCGCCCACAGTCCCGATTCCAGCTCCGGCCCCACAAGTTGAACGACCCGTAATTCCCGTACCTTCGGACCCGACATACTCCATCGACCGATACGTCAGCACTCCGACTCCTTCGGACCGCCAGATCCGGGCGCCGCTTTTCGGCAGCCCGTTACCATCGCCGTCGCCTGAAGAAGCAGAGCTGGCTGGAAAGGCTCGCATGGAGGCGTTATTGAAGGAAATTTACCCTCACCGTCCTAAACGGTCGGATTGACGGATAGTGAGGTTGATATGTATAGCTACGTTAATTTTATCGTGCTCAACTCCGACCGAAATACATCACATTAATTCTCGATCTGCAACCATCGAGACCACCTCACTTTTTTGTGACAAGCATGCACCTATCATCTCATACAATCCAACTCAAGGTTTTCACCTGATGATGTGTTTGTTTGCCAAGCCTTGTCCTTCTCGTCTGGGTAGGCGACAAAATCAAACTTGTGGACTGTGGAAACTTGTGGACTATGGCAACAGCAACCTACGGTAACTGTCGATTGACCAGACCCCGTCACAGTACTAGGTAATTTTGAGCCGCCAAGAATGCGCCAGGGGGAATCAAAGAATCACTCGCCTTGACATACCTCGACTTGCCCGACGGAGGACTTGGACATGTGATGGCCAGCCGTATTCTGCTGGTTCTTTGTCCCCGCACAGACGGCCTTGACATGTTTCGCCGCCGTGTAATCTCAGTGCAGACCGAGCCACAGTCCTCGTCCTCGTCGCCTTCGCTTTCTGGAGGATCGTCTTAGACTGCACCGTGAGACGAAGGGCACGGGCTGCTAGTCCCTAGCATGTCTTTCTCTGCAGGACTGAGGACTGAGGCGAGGACTCTCTGCAGAAAAAAATGTACTCGGTTGGCTTAGCTCGGAAATTTTCTTGGGGACATTCTCTTTCGTCTCTACTCTTCTGTGTGATTCATGAAGTGCATTTGATGCACGGAGTGGCACCGAGCGTGGAAATTCTCCAGTCCGAAGGCGAAATGTTGGATAAGGAGCCAGTCATCAAGGCCGCCTCCGCCGAGAATTCGGATATCTCAGATGTTTCTCGGCTTAAATCATCCATGCCGCCTCCCTCTATCCTCAAACCCGGGGTACAGCGTGCAGCAAACTGTTTGGTTCAGCTCGACTTTTTACTATCAACTCCTGTTTGGGGCTTTTCCACGTCCCAAGAACTGCGGACCACGCGCCACGATGCAGGTAGACTCCGCCACGAACCCAGCAGCTCTAGTGGTCCATCTGCGACGTTGATTGTAAAGAACCAGTCACCTGGGTGTGCTCTCTCACAAAATTGGAGACTTGAGATGGTTGGGAGCTTGGGGCAGTGGGATGGCCCGTTGACCCGTGATATGTGGGACCTTGGACGAACTTGTCATCTCGATGGGTAATGTCTGGAGCCTTTGCTTGACCTGAGCTTCGGTTGGATTTACGGCATGAATCCCTTTGCCGAGAAAGCGCAACTCTGCTCATGTGGGCGACGAACGACAGCAGGCTAAGTGATTCACGCCGAGATTTCTTCATCTGCTGAACACCCATTTTTCCAAATAAATTTGTTGCTTTGCGACTTTCTGGGCAAGCAACGCAGGCTCGCAAATCAACGAGCAATGCGCTTGCATTGATGCTTTCCCGAGGTTGACAAACTACTTCGTTGGGGCTAGAATCCAAATGGAACGGGGTTTCGTTGAGGGGCGCTTGTTAGTGTCGTATTTCATCGGGAACTAGAAGTTAAGAATTGCCTAGGCGACGATCCATGGGAACCTTGTGTTGCCCTGGCACTAGATGCAGCCGTCGTCTATGTTGTGTGGCGACAAAGATCCGGGCTATACAATCGGGCTACCTTAGACATTTCGGACTAAGAGCCGAAGAATTCCTTCAGCATGGTAATCATGCCAAGACAACCGTTTCTTCATCCGCTGAATTCGAAGCTCCGTGGTTCAGCCAAGGCACTCGGAGATGAGATTCTCTTCAACTCCAGCTTTCGCGACTCAGACTCATAGTCGAGGGGCAGGGGAAAATCCCTCCGGAGTAGATGCACGGACAGGCTTTGTTTCCCTAGCCTCCCCGCGAATCTCCCTACTTACCGAGCTATGTACGTTAGTCGACTCTATTCATATGTGTGTGGGTCTGTAGACTCTTTGCCCGGCTTCTCAACGGGTGCCCCAGAACCAGACAATAACCCAACTTGAACCGGTTAGCCGGCACTTCGGTACCGCCCCCAGGCACCAAGTAGAACCGAGAGGACTCCCATTTTTCAACGGATACCTTGGGGAAGTGCAGGGCCGACCTAGACAAGCTAGGTCAAATCCGCTCGTTAGCCCAAGGGCACGGCCCGGTGCTACGGCCGGACGTGAAACGCGACAGCTCGACGACGGGGAGATCGTCGGGACAATGGAGGAGGACTGAGAGCGCCGTGCGGATGTCCAGGCTGGCCTGGAATTTCTCTGGCAGTGCTTTCTTGAGCGGGGGGAAGCAGAGAGGCAGTCGTGGCGAATGTGAATCTCTCCACTTAGCACGGTAATGCTGAGGGAGAATGTGATTCATTTCTTGTCACTGGAATGGATACCTTACTCTGGCAGCTCGACCGCAAATAACGTCTACTTGCGGTTGTGTATGAACCGCCTTTTCAGGCCCTTGGGGTTAGAATATGCTCGTTCTGAGGGAGGTCCAGAGAGTGGCACTGGTGTGGCAAAGATCACTCCGAGCTTTGAGCATGCTTCTTCCCGCTGCCAAGATGGAATCCTTCCCAACCCCTCGTCCTTTCGACCCTGCTTTTGGGAAGGATTTCAACATGGAGCTTCAGCTTGGCGAATATCATAGGGACCGAACCATCGGTTCTCGCCGCATCTTCTGGCGAGCAGCTTTACGGATGGATTGCCAGGGGGATCAAACGGACGCCGCAATCACCAATTGCTCCTTTTGCAAAGACCCGTGCCTTGCATCAATTTCTCCCTGCATCATGTCCTCCCGTATCAGCTACGCTTGAAGAAGGGCCCCGTCCTCTCTCAACCAAGGCTACGCAGATAGAGTACTGGGGCGCACTAACAAACTAAGGTTTGACCGGAGGCACTAGTCCACGCCGTTCACGTGGGGAGGAACGGCGGCAGAGACTCCCACGGGTGACAGGCAAAAAAGGCGTTTCACGATGTTATGCTTCGACAGATGTTTGTCCAAAGATGCATGGCTCTTGGACCACGTCATCCTGCTCTGAGCCGTAGTGAGCCCAGAGTCAGCGAGTACCTCTGGGCTCTAGCTGCTTGAGAGCATACACAACCTGCTCAGTCAGTCAAGAATACCGATAGCGTCACTCAGTCTCGGTCTGGTCTGAGGCTTGGACTGCTCGGGGCTCTGAGATGCAGCTTGGCATTGCCCACCACAGCCCACCTCGTGGTTGATGGATGCCCTTCCCCATCAGTGCCACTCTCTTGTCCTTTGTCATGGCACAGCAGAGGTGACTGTTTCGACGCCCAGGGGCCTCATCTTGGATGCTTGCCGAAGCGGATCTCCGGGCGAAACGGGACGGTTCACGTTCACGCAGCCCATGAACATTTTGACCCCCAGAACATAAATATCCTATCACGAACCCGTCTGGTAGCCTTTTTTTTCTCATCAGATCACTCTCACACAGCTTCACTTCGCCTTTCGACAGCTAGTCTCTCGCAACCCTTTTTCGACTCTAACATCTTTCAAAGCCTCGGCTTCCTTCGCTCTTCAGCATCTTCTCAACTTCTTCTAACCAACCAAAACCCCCAAACAATCATCAAAATGCACGCCAAGGCCGTTGCTCTTTCTCTCGCCGCCGCGGCGGTTGTCCACGCTGATCTCCGCATCAACAACAACGACATCCCCCAGGACTGCTCTGCCATCTGCCGCCCCGTCCGTGACCTTGGCAACATCTGCACCGTCAACTTCGTCCCCGGTCAGGGCAACAACAACAGCGATCAGCTCCAGGATGAGCTCGACTCCCAGTGTGTCTGCACCAACAACTCGTTCGACCTGAAGAACTTGGCTGGCCAGTGCAATGCCTGCATGATCGAGAAGGTTCCTTCCGACCAGCAGCGCAGCCTTGAGGGTATGTTACTTCTAAACTTGTCGGATCGCGGTCTCCTTTTGAACCAGTGAGCTAACCTAGTGCTTCACACATAGGTATCCAGAGCATCATGAACGTTTGCCAGCTGCCCAGCGCCAGCGGCTACGCCTCCTCATCCACCTCCCTCGCCAACACTGTCATCGTCCTCGCCACCCGCCTGACTGCCAGCAGCCAGCTTACCACCACCTTCGGCGGTGCCCAGACTACTGAGTCCTCCTCCAGCCGTACTCGCTCCAGCGAGCGCTCCACCATCACCACCACCTTCCTCACCTCCGGCAACGGTGGTCTTCCCTCCATCGCCACCTCCACCATCGTTGGCGGTGGACGCCAGACCGGCAATGCTGCCCCTGGCCTCCACACCCCCGGCAGCAACGGCATGCTTGGCGCCGTCGGCGCCATCGTCGCTGGTGCCTTTGCACTTGGCGCTTTCATGCTCTAAATGGCTGGTTTCCACCGTCCGGGTATGATTGGAATCAAGTGTATGGATATGTCACGACAGGAGTTTGGAAAGAGGAGGATAATATGCATGGTAGTTTGTTATGTCTGATGAAGTAACGGTTGCGCGTGAGACGGGGGAGTATCATGGTTTGCGTCACTCCTTTGGTCTTTTTTTTTGGGTTTGGCTGTATCGCGAATGAGATATCTATGTACTGCTTACAGGTTTTTGCAATTGACGATAGATGCCGCACTCAGAACACTGCGTCCCAAACCTTCTGTGATTCTTCGCGATCAATTCACTTGTGCCTCAAATTGACCAATGACTGTTTAACACTTTCAACTGCTTGCCTTAAGTCCCAACGTGACAGCCATCTCAGAGGTTGCCTCCTCATCTCGCTTGACATTGCTCCGATTGCGAGCATCTATCGCAAGGACTGTGCTCTGAAATTTCCGCATCGGAATCTTCAGCTCGAAGAGCATGTCTACCTCCTCAAGTGTCCGGCCCTTGCACTCCGGCACGCAGAGGTAGACAAAGACAAGGGAGAGAAAGCTTATTGTGCCGAAGATCAGACCAACCTTGGACCCCAGATTCGCGTACGGGGCGTTGAGCAGATACGGTAGCGTAAAAGCGACGGTGAACTGCATTGCAATATTAACAACGCTGGCCGTCCGATACGTGACATCACGGAGGCGCATGCTCGGAATCTCGGCAGAGAGGACATGCGATGTTGGTGCCCATCCGAGAGTGAATCCCGTAGTCATCACAATCATCATGGCGACGATGGCTGACTTGACGGCGACGCTCGGATTGGACGCGAGTCCGAGAGCGCCCATTGCGAAGAGACCGGCCGTCTGAATCGACCCGCCGAAGAAGATGACGTTTCTAATGCCGATGATAAGTCAGCCAATCGGTGCGAGTAACTCTGGCTCGAGGCACACAATGCAAACTAGGGGCCTTACCTCCGTCCCAACTTGTCCAATAGGACCATTGAGCAGACACACATGACGATGTTGATGCTTGAGGTAATCATGGTGACGGTGAAAGGGTTGATGAACCCCAACTGCTTCACGAAAATGGCGCCGTACACAGAGGCAAAGATTGAGCCAGTAGCCTGCAGGAAGAAGTTGACACCAATGACTGACATGGTTCGTTTCGTCACTTGCTTGCCCTTGAACATATCCATAAAGGTACCCTTTTCGACTTCGTAATCTATGCCCGCGCGGATCTGAGACATTTCAGTCGCGATTTGCTCTTCAGTGAAGCTGCCTTCACGGAGACGAGTGAGAGCTATCAGTGCTTCTTCATTACGACCTTGCATTGCAAGCCAACGGGGAGACTTTAAGAAAGAAGTAAAAGTCAGTCAGTACTATATCTTAGCCCACTCACGAAATAATATTCAAATACGACTGAGTACTTACCTCTGGAACATACCAGATTCCTGCAATGACAATCACGGGTACGATGTAGAAGAGTCCGTACGGGATCAAATATGCCGCAGCTGAGTTCAAGCTCCCGGTACCTCGGGCCACGGCATTGACGACCAAGCCGCCCGTCTGAAAGAAACTGTCAGCATAAATCTTGGTGGCATGGAAAATGTCAATCCATCGAGCTTACTGCAAGACTTAGTTGGTAAGTGCCGACGACGAACCCGCGAGCTCGTTGCGGGGTTATTTCCGACTGGTAGATGGGCACGACGGCGAGCTCCATGCCAATATAGATATAGGCCAATATCCTGGCAGCGAGGATCTGATCCCGGCTCCTGGACGTCATGATAATTGTCGTAGCCACACAAGACCATATGCTCATCGAGAACATGCACATACGCCGGCCGTAGCGTTTACTGACCGTGCTTCCGATCAAGATACCTACGGCCGAAACGAACCTGTCAATGTTCTATGCTTGGAAGTCAACCTATCACGTAACGTACCAAACCCGAATCCAACATACGGCAGGCCGGCAAAAAGAGACAGCCACCAGCTTTCGAGATAGTAGGCTTTCGTTTTGGCGTTATACCATCCGAACTGCCGTTCAAAAGCGTCCATCGCTTGGGTTGAGTTGAATCCTTGTTGGTCAAAGCCAAAGTTGAATTGAGACACAGCAATGAGCAGAATTGTTGAAGTCAACGATCTGTTGAAAGACTGCCTGAACTCAAGGTGGGCGAACATGATCGCTGATTTGATGCCGAAATATTGGTTGTCGATCTAGGTGAGCATGTCAAGGTACGCCACCGCTTCACGACCATCTGTTTTGTGAGAGACAAACACAGCGGCTTTATATCATTTTTCTGATTGTTGTACAAATATAATGGCAGGGCCTCAATTGCGCCATCAATACTAAAGTTGACGATATGCCGGGCGTTGATGCTTCCCAGGTTTTACTCCCGGAAAAGTTGAGCCAGCTCCTTGGTATAGGGATTCTACTCGAGGGTGGCAGCCCCTGTCAATGAAGTGGGCCAGACTATTGACTAGTGCGGGGAGGATACGACGATGATTCCAGATTCTACAGAGCTTCGTTGTTTTTGAGTCATTCCCCAGAAACATCTCCCCGTCCATCCCCGCCAACGACGATTTTCACCCAGAAACACCCAGAAAGGGACCCAGGCCGCTAGGACAGTTGGTACTTTGACGAATCGTAACATATCAGTGACTGGTCATGATTACGTATGATTATGTTTCACTTCAAGAACACTACGTTGGCGTGCTGGTATCCACAAATAGTAGATTCCAACTATTGTCTATAGCTATCTACAGCTTTCAGGAAGTGATATCCAATTTTGACCTCAAAATTTAGCAGTCGCTTCTGATGGAAAGCTGCATGAGAGATCGGTGGGTTGAGTTGCTGTCGCTCAGTGCCGGATCTCGGCGGATCTCGACAGCGGGGTATCCGTCATCAAGTTGTTGTTCCCATCGACGGGTAAGAACGGGGAGATAACTACCACATTCGTACTTGTCTGAGAGGAGTCGAACATGCCCCATGCCATAATGGTTTAGCCCCTCTCAAAAGAGGGATAATCGTCTCCGATGAGTGAATCAAGTGTATTGCGTCAATCCCGAGAGTAATGTCACCATGATTAGGAGTAATTAAGGAGGAATGGCCTTCGTCACCGTGGGAGGACTCACTCGATGTTCCAGTCCACTTCAGTCACTTCAGATATAAGACCACAATCGTAGTTGAGCGCCGTACCGCCCGCAAAGTTCTTCCAAGCTCTTTCCCCAGAAATCAATCATCATGAAATCTAAACGGCCAAACTTCCTGATCATTGTTGCCGACGATCTTGGCTTCTCTGATGTCAGTCCTTATGGAGGTGAAATCCATACCCCAACTCTCGAAAAGCTTGCCAAAGATGGTATTCGCATGACCAACTTCCACACTGCATCTGCGTGCTCGCCAACAAGGTCCATGTTGTTCTCTGGAACTGACAATCATATTGCTGGGCTTGGTAAGTGTTCCTCTGTTCATCACGTGGCAAAGACTAACTTATCTCAAGGCCAAATGGCTGAACACATGAGGCGCTTTGGAGATTATTTCAAAGATAAGCCCGGCTATGAAGGCTACCTGAACTGGAGAGTAGCTGCTTTATCCGAGATCCTGCAAGACTCTGGCTATCACACCATCATTTCAGGAAAATGGTAAGCTCATCGCATGATAGACGACTGCACAAGCGACTAACCTTCGTGGTCCTATAGGCACCTTGGACTGACCAAAGAGCTTGCGCCTTGCAATCGCGGCTTCACGAAGAACTTCACATTCCTACCGGGCTCCGGCAATCATCATGCTTATGAGCCTCAATTAGACGATGACGAGTTCAAGATTCCTTGTCTTGACACGGAAGGCCATTGGATGGATGGCGATGAGTTCATCAATCATAGAACGGACCTTCCTGATGACTTCTACTCTACGCGCTATTTCACCGATCGTATGATCAACTTTCTAAAGGAGAGAGACGAGAAGGAAAGAGAACAACCGTTTTTCGCTTACCTGCCCTTCACCGCGCCTCACTGGCCCCTTCAGGCCCCACAGGAGGTGGTTAACAAATACGGTATGAACTGGATTGTGAGTAGAGTTGTGATGATGGATGCTTGCTAACGGTTCCATTAGCTGGAAAGTATGACGATGGTCCTGATGCATTGACACAGCGAAGACTGCAACGCTTGGTCGATCTCGGGCTTGTGGCCAAAGACATTGAACATGCGCCGCCGGTTGGTGTCCTAGGTAAAGACTGGAAAGACATGACGGAATTGGAGCGCAAAGCGTCTGCACGGAAGATGGAAGTCTTCGCTGCCATGGTGGATCTCATTGACGAGAACATTGGGCGAGTCATTGATTACCTTGAGGTGACAGGAGAGCTCGACAACACCTTTGTCTTGTTCATGTCGGACAATGGTGCCGAAGGTGCTGCCCTCGAGGCCATACCTGTAAGTGTAGCCGCGTCATCAACATCGCGTCGGTCTGATGTTAACTTTTACCCTACCGTAGATGATGGGAGGAGAAACAACGTTTGCTGGGATAGTACAAAAGTATTATGACAACAGCTTGGACAACATTGGCGACAAGACGTCTTTCGCCTGGTATGGTAAGTAACCTCATCTAGTCTTCCGGTGGATGCAGTTCAGCGCTGACGTGGATCAGGTCCGCGATGGGCATGTGCCGCGACGGCGCCATCCCGTGGCTCGAAGTGTTGGATCACGGAGGGTGGTATTCGTTGCCCATGCTTAATCCGCTATCCACCATTTCGAGCCAAGCCCGACGCCATCACGCATCGTTTCACCACCGTTATGGACATACTCCCCACGATCTTGGAGATGGCTCAGGTCCAGCATCCCGGTACAACATTTCGAGGTCGACAAGTTGTCGTGCCCCGCGGCAAATCTTGGGTGGACCACCTCACTTCTCCCGATTACACGGCGCCGGGCTCGACGGTTCACGGGGAAGACGTGCACGTCCACGGTTGGGAGCTTTTCGGGCTCAGAGCGATTCGCGAAGGCAAATGGAAGGCAGTTTGGTTGAATAAACCTAGGGGGAAAGATGACTGGGAGCTATATGACGTGGAGAAGGACCCTGCGGAGATGAACGATGTATCAGACAAGGAGCCGCAGGTGATGCGGAGGCTTGTCGATCACTGGGAACGGTACTATGCAGAGACCGGGATGACCCAGGCACCAGAATTTGCTATCACCAAGGCTTAGCAGGGTCTGGAGATCGGATGATGTCTTTGCATCAGCTGCACCGCGCCAGGCATCATCAAGTTATGTTCGCTTCGATTCAGGGGAAACAGAAATCCAGATCAAGACCTTATTTTTGCGAAGCAGTAGCTTCTGAAATCCTTGAGGACATGTCCTGAGAGTTACCTATGCTTGACATTGTGACACTATTTCACTGTGCCTGTCGTTGAATACCTTACGGCGATTGATATTCGGAGTAATTCACGCGAGTCATCAGCACACGGCAATTTCCGCCAGGGGCGAGAAACACAAGCATGAGGTGGGTTTCTTTTAAGTTGGTGAGATGGAAAATGCTTTATTCTCCGGTGCTTAAATCATTTTCAATTGTGTCTGTGGTTGAGGTTTGAAGATGATCGAGGGGCGCCTGAACTCCTGACAATGACCTGGTATTGCTTCCCAAAATGTCCCATTCCATTCGTGATCCCACCACTTAACAGACCCATTGCAAGCATGTTTCCCCTGGCTTCGCGCACACGCCACAAGGAGAGTTACAGCATGTTGTTCCTGTCGGGCAGATGACTGAGCCGCAAGTCTCTGCGTCGGCTGGTACGGTGCCGTTGGATTGGCAACCGACGGGGTGCTCCAAGCGGAAATCGAAGACTTTGCAGTAGGAGTTTTCGGGGCAAGCGACGCCGGCGCAGCGATCCTGAGCGGGTTCTCCTTGAGGGGCCGGGGCCGGGGCGGCAGAGGCGGCAACGGCGAAGACGCCGACGATAAGCGAGTGAAGGAACATCATTTTGATCGTTGGTTTTGTTGGTAAAGGAATGACTGACTGAGTTGGAATCGAGGTTTTTGGCTGAAGATGAACGAGTGAATGGCTTTGAGGAACAACTAAACCTGTTCAAATTCAGGCGGCAATGTCAACCTTTATGGTCCAAAAACGAAGGATTCGACCCCATTGTCGGCGGGAGTAAGTTTAGCGCGATTCAGGGAACAATTATAGTTCATTGTTTGAAAGTGATTAAATGCCGGCGTCAACTGGTTGTCTCCAGTTATATGAAAGGAATGGGCTAACTTTAAACACTGGCACGGGCGTTGGCCAGCTCACGGACAAAGCGTGCTATAAGGTCCGAGAACAGACCCTAAAGGCTAAAGGAACAGGAGTAAGCAGCGCCCGGCATGTTCGGACGAAGAGGGTGATCGCGTCTTGGCAGTTAAGAAAAGAGATGGATTAGATTAGCTATTGAGTAATTAATAGATTCATGCCTCAGGGGCAGCTAAGTTTGACGTTTCCCCCTTCCCCATTATACGTCCTCATTACTACGATCCTCCATGTTCCAATTTGTGGGGAGAGCTGTCCAAGCCTCCTTTTATCCCCAAGTTATTAAGATATTACTAGTTTGTCGCCGAGGGGCTAGTGTAGTTGCGAGTGCCGGCTTGCTAGATCGGGCGCCCCGTCTCCGAAGGAACGGGATCGGCAGCAGGGAATTCAGACAACAGGGACGGTAGGCGCAGAGACGGGCACACAGATGGGTGCGCCATTCTTCTCCCTGCAGACGAAATCGGGAATGCATTGGACGGTAGAGCAGCTGAGAATTCCGGTCGGGGCGGGGATCAATGAGATCAAGGTGGTAGGGTTAATAGGAAGAACCGGGAGGGCGCGAAGAGGCAGGACGTTGGCGCTGATGGGCTCGCCCTTGACGTTGACGGGAGGAATGACGGGCAGAGTTGGGAGCGCGGGGAGATCGACGGAGCTCGGGGCGACGTCGCGGGGAATCGCAGGAACAACGGAAGCAGGGAGAACGACGGGAGCAGTGAGAGAGAAGGCGACAGGTGCGACAGTAGGGAGCGGGACTGCGATTTCGCGCTCGAGCAACTTCGCGGGAGGAGTGGGCAGAGCAGCAAACAGGGAGCTGATGACCGCGGAAGCATCGACGGGCAAATCGCGCTCCAAGTTGAGTTTGGCGAGAGGGCTGGGCAGAGTAGCAAGAATGCTGCTGATGACCGCGGAAGCATCAATGGGCAAGCCGCGCTCCGGAAGCTTGGGAATGGCGGTGGGCAGAATGGCGACCAGAGAGCTAAGAACCGAAAGGTCAATGGTGGGCAAGCCGCGCTCGAGGTTCAGCTTCACGGAAGGGGTGGGCAGAGCAGCGACCAAAGAGCTGATGACTGAAGCATCGGCAGCAGGCAAGTCGCGCTCAAGGTTCAACTTGGGAATGGCGGTAGGGAGAGTAGCAAGAATGCTGCTCAGGATGGTGGCATCAACGGTAGGTAAATCGCGCTCCAAGTTCAACTTTGGGGTGGGCAGAGCGGCGAGCAGCGAGCTGAGGATCGAGGCATCAACAGCAGGTAGGTCTCGCCCGAGGTTCAGCTTCGGGGCCTCGGTGGGCAGAACAGCGAGTAGAGTGCTGAGGACCGAGAGATTGATGGTGGCGGTAAGGTCGCGTTCAAGGTTGAGCTTGGGGAGAGTAGGGAGCGCAACGGCAGGCAGAGTAATGTCGACCTGGAGACCAGTGATGGATGGAATATCGCGCTCAACGACAACGCCAGGGGCATTGGGAATAGCGATACCGGGAAGAGCAACAGTGTAGGGAGCGACTTTAACGGCTGGCAGGGTAGGTAGGGGAGGATTGGCAATCGAGATGTCCCGAGCGTGCCTGCGAACTGGGAGGGCGATGGAAGTCGAGGGCAGGACTGGAAGCTCAACACTGATAGAGGGAATCGCCGGTATCTCTCGGGGAATGTTGACGGTAGGGAGAAGGGGGAGGCCGGTGGCCTCAACTTTGGCCGATAGCGAGAGAAGAGATGACAAGATGGGGAGGTCCCGAGGGATGTTCAGGTCTGGAACCTCAACGGCCACTGAGACGGTGGAAGCCGGGACGGCAACGTCAACAGAAAGAGTAGGCAGAGCCGGGAGCACCGGGGGTGCAAGAGTCGGAGCCGTAAGGCCGCGAGGGATGTTAAGGTCCGGAACTTCGATGGCCAACGAAACGGTCGAAGCTGGAATTGCAACGTCAACAGACAAAGTCGGCAGTGCTGGGAGCGCGGGAGGTGCGAGGGTCGGAGCAGTAAGACCACGAGGGAGGTTGAGACTCAGAACAGAGAGAAGAGTAGTGGGAAGAGCTGGAAGATCGATGTCAGGAACGCCGCGGGGAGCGTTGATGGTAGGCGGGGTCGGGAGCTCGACATTGGGAAGAGTCAAGGAGAATGAGACTGGTTCAAGCTTGACCGCGGCCGGGCCAATGGAGTCAGCGATGCCAGCTTCAGCTTCGGGATGAGGAGCAGGTGCAGGGTTGGCAGCGACACCAAGAGCCAGGACAAAGGTGGTAAGAGTGCGGATGGAAGCCATCTCTAGATATTTAAACTGTTGATTCAAGAAACCTTTGCTGAAGAGGTGAAGATGTTGGAGTTGATGTGGCGAGTGAAGAACGAAAGAACTGAACCTTTAAGGAAATCTTGACTCACTTTATACCCGATGTCTTATGCTTCTCAGTCCTGCTGAATCCCGCGATATTTTCAATTAAGACAACATCATTATGGCTGATCGACGAATGCAGTCAATAGCTGGAATCAATTTTGCCGTTGTCAACTGCCCAAAGGACCAAACCTTCATCACCTCTATTGCCAGGCTGGGCTGGGAGACAACAAACCTTTGGGCCATCAGAGAGACATCTTCCCAGCGGGATGGATCACAGAACATCCGGAGAAATGGCTTGAGACGGGAGAAGGTCTCGTCAGGTTGTACAAGGCCGTTACTGGTCAAGTAGGACAAGCCTAAGTCCGCCGATGTCTCATCCTGTCCAGAGACACGGCGTAGGCTCCCTTTTGCCAGTCCATCGGTAGTTCCCGTTAGCTAGCCGCAGTAGTCCGCCCCATAGGCGCAAGAATTGACGGAATTGCGCAATTCGTATCGCATGCAGCCATCCTCAAGAATGCGGGAAATCTGATCGGGGATCGTACAACTGTCAATATATCGCGATGGTGGCGGTACCAATAACGCCGGTCAAAGTCTATGTGCACGGTGAGCAGAATTCGGGCAAAGACTGAGCAACAAATTCACTCTGGAAACTCTTGAACAATGGGATGGGGCCGACATTGTGGAGGACCCCATAGCCAAGCAGGCGGGAGGCACGCAGGCACGCATGTTACACAATACCGGTATGGCGATCACTCGTGCTCCCATGGCGATCACTTGCAAGGGGAGGTTGTCTGATTTGCTGGCCTTTCGAGCGGTAAAATCAAGTGCAAGACATTCAACCGTATTCGTCACATTCGCCGTGATCTCGAGGCTGCCGCCCACTCTGCCCGAATGCCACCGACTGAGACAGAATGGAACTAGATCAAGCCAAAGGGTGGATTCTCCTCCGCCCACCTCCACACGTCGGGATTTCCCGCAGTCAAAGCGAGCAACTTCCGTTCCCAGTATCCCGTCAAAGGCTCCTCGGGCAGCACACTGGCCTGCGGGTAGGCGTTGGTCTGTTTGCTGGCCGACACCCATTTCCATTGGCCGTCTTCCTTCTCGACCGGATAAGGCTTCAAGACATCTCCCTCTGCGTCAAGATCCACCTCCCTGGTCTTGCCGTCTTTGACGCTATCTGCCTCAGAGGCGTCAAGCCCGGAGCCGCGCTCCAGCTTCCATAGGCCACTCCCATCATCGGCTCTAGTCAGAGGTCTGCAATCCCAGACCCCGTCATCGTCCATAGCAAGGCCTTGGCAAGCCAATCGGACCCGCACGCTACTATGAATTCTCTCGTTGGTGTTGAGCAAAGGCTGGTGCGTGTCTTGGTTTGTTTCCGGGTCCGTACGCATAAAGGTCCCAGGGTGCCGGACTGTGGTTCCTGACCAGGTCTGGAGGCGGCTCGTCGGATATCGGATTTGGCCTAGTCCCCACGGACGAGCGGTTTTCCAGAGCTCTTCTGAACTACTAGCGGGATGACGATCTTTTCCATCACATTCAGCCTCATCCCGATGGATGCTCGATGCTTTTACCGGGCATATCTTAGGATTCGCCCACGGCAGTTGTTGCTTCGGCCGGAGCCACGATGACCAGGAGCTGGGCACGTAGGAGAATGGGTGGCCAGCTGAGAACCGAAGTCCCTCAGTGAAGATGTCTGACATACGACCCGGGTTAAACTCTACACCAACACTTGATAGTTGATCACACATCCCTTTTTCTTCTGTCAGTTTCTGTCAAAAAGCACACCACATTGTATGAGCTACATACAAGCTAGAGTGATGGTGGCGATTTGTTGCTCATGCCATCCCCCACCTACACCGGCATGGTTACCTGGAAACCAAACCTGCCGGAGATTGGTCTTGTTGCCCTCAAGCTTTTCCCAGAGTGCAGGGCGGAATGCGAACCGGGGTTCGTCCAGGGACAGGGCATGGAATGCGTTTTCCACGCGGTCGGATACCTGGGTATTGCTGAACTTCCACGTAGAAATTTTTATGTTAGCCGTATTCAATTTCAGAATGGTCACAGCAGGGAAAGACTTATTGATCTGATGTTCCATGAAGGCCAATGACCGGGGCCGGGGGAATGCCCAAAGCGCCGACGGTATCCCATACGCCAACTGCCTTGATCTTGATCTCGTGCACGCCATTTGCATCTTCGTATGTGTGCCTTGTGAGGCCATTCTACACCCTATCAGTATTACGTCTGGAGAAGAGGTACTTCAGCGGGATATACCTTGGCAAGCCATTTCTCATACTGTGATTTCCGATCCATCTCCCATTTAGCCCTGGCTGCTCCTCTCTCGCCATTGTAGGGAAGTAATTCGGGGTCCAAGAAGAGACTCGGATCACGATCAGAACCGCCCATGTTCTCATAGTCTTCAAAGATGGCGTAGAAATGATCCAAGCCCGTAGGAGTCAGCAAGCCGACCGTCGCAACCATGTCGGCAACAGAGCGCGCCGTGAAAGCACCACGGGAGAAGCCTATGAGAATGATGTCGTCCCCATCGACGTAATTAGTACAAATAAAGTTGTAGACCTCACGAATGGCCTGCGACAGCATCAGCATCCCCTGAGGTCTAGGAAGAAAATGATAAGTCGCAATCCGCCTTACCTGGTCAAGTCCAACCCCAAAGAGTCCGCCTGTGAATTTGTCGACTGCGCTATCTGAGCTGCCAACACCAGGGTGATACATAATGATTTGATGGGTGCCAGCTTGACAGGTTCGCCGAAGGACGCGAGATATTCTTGTCACGTTGGATTGCGGCTCCGTGCTTTGCGTGCGGGTTAGCGGACGATGAAGCTGTTAAGGGAGACAAAGGCCTGTTTACCCCTTGCTACCTAACGAATCCATCCATGTTCCATCGCAACAAACAATCAAGCGCTTGTGAGCACCACGAGCAATAGAAACCATGTTGCTAGGTGCAGATGGGCATTGACTCCCGAATCTGAGCGTTGGCTGTCTTTTCGCGATCAATGGAGATTCAAGGTATTCTAATAAGGCGGGGTTTGTGCACGGCCTCCAGCCTCAAGATGGCAGGCAAGGGGGTTCAGCTTGGCCTTCATGAGGTCGTAGTGTGAGTTGGTGGCTGTCTCACTGCATACTACATACAGCCGCAGCTGACATTTCGGGGTCACCGGCCGAATGTCAGCCCTAATAATCCCTGCGACGTCGTTGATCGTTTTTGGGGCAAAAATGCATTCGTCGTGCTCGGCTGAATAACTTCAAATTAGACTATTTAGTACAAACAGCGCCAGCCAGAAGGAATACATGCTAACCAACGTGTCGTTAACTAAGGTAATATCCATCTGAAGTCAAGGTAGGAAGCCATCATTTGATTTCTCCTCTTGCCGCGGAATTGCTGCAAACCGTAAAGCCGTTCCGCTCAAATAGGTTTCACTTCACTGATGATAATCATGGAGTTCTTCTGACGCCCCAACATCGTCGCCCGTTCGGTGGTCTGCAATCTCCAATAGGCTATTTGCGTGAACGAGCAAGTCTACAACACCAACGTCAATTGGTCAATGCGACGATTATTGTCCAATGATTTATATCGAATTAGGTGGCACGAAACTCCTTACTGTATAGTTAGACCATCTAAAAAGGCAGGCCAACGAGGTGGGGCCATTGCTTCAGTCACTTCTGACATGCATCGACCGATGTTGTAGGCCGACGGCGGTTCCTCCTAAACCAACCCCTCTGTAATTATCTAGTATTGACGTTGTGCAGGCGGCCGGTATCACAAGGAATCCTTTTTGGGTACCCACTCATCTTACAAATCCAGGCATAATGGGAATCATTGACTCATCACAGGAAGGCCTTCCTGTACGCATAGCTTACTGATGCCACCCCAGCTAGTTAAGGTTACTTTGATGCATTCATAGAGAAGCCTTTGTGACGCCATTCTACTTACCTTCTTTGTCAAAGAGGAAGATCGCTAATAAACCCCCATGATTCCCAGTCATTGGCATTCCTGATGGCAACAGCACAGGGGGATTTGCGTAGTCCGGGGCAACGCTATGTGTCATTCAAGTTGCCATCAGGCATTAGGTCCCTCGAGAACTTTATAAATAACATAGAGTGTATTCCAATAAGATAGGACTTCGAAAGAGTGACATATCAAAGTTTTCTTCCAGTGCGGCGTATTGGTACTCATTCTACCTAATCATGTCTACAGCGCTCAGCTATCCTCAGTCTTTTTAAACGCAATAAATCTCGTGCAACCAGCATTCTTCAGCTATTTCAAAACCAGGTTGCGTAAAAAATAAAATAAAAAAAGGCATGTGATAGGCAGCCAACCAGATATCTACACCGATCTGAGATACCTTAGTGGAGGGAAATGTATTAAACTACGATTCCTCCCTTAGTTTATGCAGCAATAGGTGTCATCAAGACGAAGAGTTCGTCTTCCAGAGATCCAGGCGTGTGGCGGCCGTAGGTCTCAGGGCGGGCAATCTGAACGTTGAAGTTGGAGAACAGACCAGCCAAAATATATCCGAACACTAAGAGCGAGCGTTAGCATTTGCTAGGAAGATTATATGAACAGTCCACTTGGTTTGAGAGTATTGACATTTCAACGTAAGGTTACACACATCTTTATCAAGGGAAGGAAATACTTACGATAGTATGTCAGTTGTGTTCCGATACAAGCCCTCGGACCGGTGACAAAGGCCCAGAGAGGGGGCATATCGGTCCTTTCTGCGCCATTCGGGTCCAACCAGCGTTCAGGAACCCAGGCATTCGGCTGTGTCCACATCTCTGGGTTACGGTGCAGAAACCATTGGAAACAGTTGACTCGAGTACCCGCTGGGATACCATCGACCCCCGAGATGCTCACGGACTTATCGTGAGGTGTGATGCGTGGTAGCGGGGTGCTGTTAGGTCTCATTCGCAGAGATTCCTTTATGACAGCTTGCAAATATGCGATTGACTCAATAGTCTGAGGTGAAGGCAGGCTATTGGCGTCATTGGTCCCGACTTGGTTTACGTGCATTCCAAGTCCGGCAACCGCATGCTTCAACATTTCTTGCTGAGCCGGGTTTTGAGCAAGATAGTAGACCGCGTAGGCAAGAACAAGGCCTAGAAAATCAAGTCAGCAGGCGGAAAACGTCTCAGTAAGATTTCAGAAGCTTACCAAATACCTCGCGAGCGCCGGCTACGATAGACAGAATTTCGTTAGCAACAAATCATCATCGCAAAGTAAGGAGTTGGGTAACCTTACACATGTGATCAAAGATTTCGCTGGCGATGGAGATTCTAGACAGCTCTTCCGACGCCTGCATATCGAGGAATTTACCATCTTTCAAGTTAGACATCGCCTTTCGTAGTTGATTGTACACAACTGGAATGTCTTCCGCAGGGGGCTGCTCTCCGTTCTGCATGCGTCGATAGACTGCCTCAGACTTGTCGCAATGCTCCAGCATCCAGTTCTCGATCCACTCGGTCGATTCATAATGCTTACGAGGCATCACATCAAGCCCGATTTTCCGAAGCCCGTGATAGAGTTTGGGAAGTTCCTGCAGCCAGAAACCCTGAGGACTGTATCTGTTCTCGTAATGCTCCAGCCACATCTCTGTCAACTCGGGGTTTCGGGTGAAATCGGGCCCGCTGGAAAGACCCAGAATGTAACAGTTGAGCATATCCAGCCCAGAGGCATAGCAGAGTCTCAGGAGCTCTACTGGTTGTCCGTGTGCAGAGTGATGCTGAAGAACTGGGATGAGACGTTGGTACATGATATTGTGAGTTACTTTGCTCAGCGTCTCGGAGGCAAAAAGCGTCGTCTTGGAGTAAGACGAGGAGACTCGTCGGCGACATGCAGCATGATCGGCTCGGCTCCGGCTGGCAAAAGAGTTCCGCTGTCTAGTAAGACACAACCAGGTCAGCACGTGAAATGGTCACAACTTGACGAGATCAGATTGAGTACCGATCGGATTTGCAGTTAGCACTTACCCATAGTATTGGAAGAAGTCGAAGTAGCCTGGCTTTTCGAATCCGGCGTTGTAGACCTGACGAACACCAGTCTCATAGTCGCTGATGCTGATCTCTTGCGGCGCAACTCGGACGATTTTGCCCAGTCTTTCATGAGCTGCGAGAACAGATTTCAACTCCTTTCCATGATAACGCTGCCAAAGAATCCAAACGGGACTGAAAGAGCATGTCCAGTGAGCGGAGGGTACTTTTGAAAGACCTCCCGTGAAAGTGCGGTACAAAGTTTGGAACAAGAAGACTCCAAGAAGAAAGAGAATAGCCACAAATGGCAGCGCCGAGCCTAGTATCAGGAAAGGCATGTCTACGGTCTTGGAAGGCATCGATGTCTTGACCCAGTCTTCGATGACCTCTCACTAACTTGTTGACATGATATTGCTGCTTATTTAGATGCGTGTTGACCTATTCTGAACCATGCATCAGTCTCTTCCGCTGACTCTGCATCAGCGTCGACCTGGAGGTCTCCGAAAACTATTGCGCGAGAATCCAAAACTTCAGGCCATGATCAGTTCCTCCCATCAACAAGTTGTCTACTTCTCGTGTCATTCCCGAGATTCGGGATGACATCCATGCACAGACAAAACTCAAAAGCATTGACAGATCCACCAGGGGTACCCCCTCCTCGGGTCTCTCAAATGTGCCAGGATCGGGATCCATTATCCATATGCACTGTCAGCTACGACGTGTATTCGTAAGAAGTCTGGAATCTGCCACCTACATGGATAGCGTACGTTGCATTCAATGTTGTAAGGGGAGTGCCAAGTCGTAAGAGGGAGCGAAGGAACCTGAAGAAGAATCCATTCCAGATGCGGCGGCGGTATTTTCAGCAAGCAACCGTAACGCCTCTCATGAATAAGCGGACTTTGGGTGTGTTCTTGAAACCGAGGTTTCTGGGGTAAATTACTTGTATTGTTGGCGGATTCAGTTGGGTCAGATCTAATTCTATCGATGGAGCGAAGTTGAGCATTGTGGTCAATCTATGTAATTGGTAGGGAGCTGTGTCCCATGGGTAATAGACGACTAACGCATAGGAGCGTCGTGGAGAAAACGGAAAAGAAGCGGGCAATCATGTACACATGAGTACACAACGATGTTGATTATCTGATCAATGTGAATAATTGCAACCGGTCATAACTTCTTGGGATCATCATTCATCTGGCGTACCTAGCGTAGTCTGCATATCGCATGGGCTCGTGGTTCTGCCCATCAATCAGCCCCATCCCGTAGCTATCCGGTTCTGCATCAGGTACCTCTCCATATGTTTTCATCTTTTTCCGGTCGTTCTTGATTCGCTTCTTTTCCTCCTTGGCTGTCTTGCGCTCCTCTTTTGCTGCCTTCTTTACCGCCTTTTTCTCCTTTTTCTCCTTGCGCTTCTGTCGGCATCCCTTCCTGGGGAACTCGCTATTCGTACCCTGAAGGACTCGCCCAGGATGTATGATGGCGAGAATAAGCAATGCCAACATCATGGGGAAGGCGTCTAGGGCATACGCGTATGCTTCCGTGAAAGGTATGGGGTTCTCCTCAGGAGTCATGCCTCCGGTAAACTCGACGAGACGGAAAATGATGCGGGCCTTAGCATGCCCATAGCTGTCAGTTAAACTGCAGCTACAGGAATTGCGGAGGGCGGGGATTAGGGTAGGACTAACCGTGATTGCAAGCAAAGCTGCATAAAGTGCGAATTGGAGGGCCTTCCAATTTCGTCGTGGCATGTAGCCTTCTTCATCCTCCCGGTCGTATGAGCCGCCCTCCAGTCCATAGACGTCTTCTTTGTTCATTTGTATGGCGCGATAATGGAAGCGAGCCATCAGCATCAAGAATACCACAATGAAGCCCTCTTGAACACCCATGCCGATGATGTAAATCTTGACACCCTTTGCTCTTGTGTTAGGCTCTACTGTGGGGCCAGCCATGACACCTCCCGTGGCCTGCACGATAAATGTGGCGATGTCGGCAACAACGAAGATGCGCCCCAGCCATCTTGCCGGGATGTAGCAAACTCGAGGCTCCCCGCCTGGTCGGAAGAAGTAAACCATTCGTGCAAATGTCATGTACACAAAAGCGTTCAGCCATACAGGAGCCAACAGGAATAGCACCTGATGGCCCGTGGCGTACCCTTGGGCTTGTTGATCTTGCGAGCCATATGCGTGAAGAATGAATGCACCCATTTCCCAGCTTGCCGCCATAAGAACTGTCCATGTGAAAGGCTATGCAACACTGAATGTTAGTATACATACCCTCCACTAACATAAGTATTTCGATGGTTGCGTTGCTCTTTGTGGAAGGAGAAGAACAATTCAAGGGAAGTCTTGGATGTATCGTCTTACTTTTCGGTACCATATCGCCTCGATCAGATGAACTAACGTCAGAATACCAAATATCGAAGCCGTTGCAATAGCAGGTGTCAACTCGGGATGGAAATTGTAGTTTGAGTTGCAAGCGTCCCAAGGAACCGCTCCGTTTGGTCCCGGCACTGCACTCGTGCAATCTGTTCTCGGAGGGTCATCATCGCCATCGTCCCGAATCGTCAGCGTTGGTGTTGGGAACATTATGCTTGCTTCGGCAGGGTCAAGGGAAAAGGAAAAGGAAGAAAAAAGAAAAAGATGAAGATGAACAAGTGCGAATTTTTACAGCAACCCGAAAGGCATTCGCACTAATTTTCGATGGGTCTAGAAAATGTAAGTCGGCTGCTTTTTCCACTCAATATTATTGAAGACTTTATCTACCAAATCCTTCAAATTGGCTTCCACATCCAACTTAAAGATGCTGGGTACTAGCGTAAAAATCTATCTTATAGCGGCATCAACTACATTCCGAGAGCTCAGGGTGCCAAGGCTGGTGCCTAGAGTGAAAGCAAGTTGGTCGACCTCTGTGTCTCGCAAATGACGCGTCCCCCATCCAGCGCTGCCGGCGACTCGGCATGATCGACCCTCCATCGACCCTCCGAGGGTCACGTCTAAGCGGGTCTAGTTGTAACAGACCACTATCCAACCAACACGAGAAACGTGTGCAACAGGGGTAAGGGGGTCTGAAATGTGACGACGGTCAGCGAACTTTTGAGCTTTTGTGGTGACAATACTTCTTTTTTCAGAAGAAGCTTTGACAAGTCATTGGTTCAGGTTGGTTCTAACAAGAAACCGGACTTTGGATGGGCAATTGGTCCGTCTCTTGATCACGCCAACCTCGATTTTGTTGACATGAACTTAAGCTATTCCCCGACTCTGTCTACTAAACGTGGGAATCACTGTCTGAGTCTTGATCGTGGAAATAAGCTCTGAATAATATCAAGAAGACTCGATGTACCCGTACGTTCTTTTAAAGATAGAGTCCAGAGTGTCAAGTCTTTTCAGATGGTGTGCATTTTAGGTGATATAGTGCAATGTAACCGCGCGGGAGCAGATTTCTACCCTGCCATGCCTCCGCCTTTGTATCTAGTCTACGAATCCTTGATTCCAATACTTGCATCCATGTCTCGTAGTTCTTGGCGCTAGCCATGCCCCTTGGCTTACAACTACTGTGCTTATCCCTCTTAAGGAAGATGAGAAATGATCTTGACCACTGCATCGCCGAATTGGCTTGTTGTCGCGGTGCCCCCCAAGTCCGAAGTCCGGACACCAGACTCAATCGCGTCGCTGACTGCCTTGCAGATAAGATCAGAGGCTTCGGGCATGTTGAGAGAGTAACGGAACATCATGGCAACAGAGAGGATCATCCCAACAGGATTTACCAACTGCTTTCCGGCAATGTCTGGTGCAGAACCATGAACTGGCTCATACAAGCCCTTGATCATGCTGCTGCCAGATTGCGGTGGGATGCCTCGCAAACTAGCGCTGGGGAGGAGACCGATGCTGCCAGCAATGGCGCTTCCTTGATCACTAATGATGTCGCCAAATAGGTTGCTTGTCAATACGATGCCGTTGAGCTTGGTCGGGTTGCAGGCCAGGGTCATGGCAGCGCTGTCCACAAGCTGATGCTCGAAACGAACATCGGGGAACTCTTTGCTCAAAACTTCGGTGACGACACGACGCCAAAAGCTGCCGCAAGCTGCGAGCACGTTCGCCTTGTCAAGACTGATGACAGGCTTGGGAGGAGTTGACAACCTCGCCAGGTTACCAGCCAGCCGCGCTGCTCTCGCTACCTCTTCATAGGTGTACTGGTCCGTATCCTTGGCAATGAGATCTCCACGCTCTCGGTGCCCAAAGTAAATGCCACCAGTAAGCTCGCGAACGATGAGAATGTCGGTGCCTCTGCAAATGTCGGTCTTCATTGGTGACGTTTCGACTAGAGATGGGGCGGGGAAATTGATCGGACGCAAGTTGCCAAACGCATCTAGTTCGCGGCGCAGAGTCCCGAGACTCGCGGCTTCAACGGAAGGAACCTGTCCAGCCCATTTCTTTGTAGCTCGTGGTCAGCACTACGGTTCATTGAGGGCGATCACCGGCATGGGTGTCTTACAGGGCCACCGACTGCGCCTAGCAGGATTGCGTCGGCCTCTTTTGCATCTTGAAGAGCTTCGGGAAGGATCGGCTTTCCGTGAAGATCAAATGATGTCTGTGACAAAAAGAGTTAGAAAGACCAAGAATACGCGGGTTGGCAGAAGGTTCGACGTCGACATACTCCGCCTATGGGATGATGCGTCAGGTTAAACTTGATTTCGGGGTGGCGGAGAGCGACTTCGTGAAGGACCTTAAGCCCCTCAGACATGACCTGCATTTATGATTAATGACGGGATTCATCCATCCCAAAGGGTGTATGGGTGAGCCTACCTCTGGCCCGGCGTAATCTCCACCAAAGACAACAATCTTAAACGAAGTAGACATTTTGATGAATCGATTTTCTCTGTCGTTCAGCTGGAAAGTTAGATGGGGAAACAATTGCGCAAAGTTGCTGAATCTTCTTGAATGAGACCTAGATCGCGTTTTCCTTCTTCAAGTATACACTTGACTCCCAATTGAGTTTGTCTATTCTCATGTTTGGTGTTGCAATTGTTTCCTTCGAGCCGAGCTCGGCCAGACATCACTTTGGGGTTCATGATGTTGACGCTGCTTGCCTGCCGGACAATGCATTGGAGGTAAGCAGTTCCAGTGACAGAGAGAGAAGACAGTGCATTCAGGCTGAGGATGTGACGGGAATGTGAATCTATCCGAAGATCAGGGGCTCACCCGCCCTGCGAGTATGATGATTTTGCTGACCTTGCATATGGCCCTGGTCCTGGCTAGTCAACCGTCTTACGATGTTCCAACGAAGCAAGGGTTGATTAGCCTTTTGGCCCTGGCGCGCCAACACCCCCTTTGATTCGGTCAATCGGAACTCGGCGGCAAGAAAATATTGATTATACATACGTACCGAGGCCTCCTCCGTGTGACCGTGTCACAAAACCCCGAGAAAGTTTAAATCCCCAGGCCCACACGGCCGCCCCAAGGGAACCACACAGCAGCGCGTGAAGCCAAGGGACTTTGCATACGGCACAGCCAGTTGAGACTGGAGACGGGCTCAATGAGATAGTGTGGCTAGAGTATTACTACTCCGGAAAGTGGCGTTCCAGATGCGCCGGACAACGCGTTGTAAGACTCCCTCAGCTGTATGGTCAAGCGGGAAATGTTCTAGCTAGAGATTGTGGTCAGACGCTGACAGTCAGCTATCGACGAGAACCAATTTGAGGGTGCAAATAAGTGCACTTAGCATCTCGTTATCGTAACCTAGAATGTAGTTTAATAGAGCCCCATTCGAGCATGATTCAAATGGTGACTATCGTCGCTTTGGTTAACTTCCATTATTGAATTGAACAGTTATTCTATCACAACGAATTCTCTACAACGACCTATTCTACCGGCTATCGGCACATCCATCCCCGTTTCTCTTACGAAACATTTACCACCATGGGTTCTATTCCCGCATATTCTTCAGCGCCTGGCGAGAGCGAGAGCGAGATCCTCTTCGCAGTTCGTCCGCCGAAGACAGACGTAGAATGGAACAAGATCGGTTTTACGCCTTTCCAAGGTCAGTTCAATTGCCAATGGGGTCACTGTGGTCTGATATCAACCAACATGAAGCAACCGATGACACCTGCTAAACGAGCTTTTGGGTTTAAATTGGTGGTAATAACAGCGCTTAGTAAACGGTCACATCGAATGCACATTTACAACCAAGTCTGGCGCCTGGAGCCAACCGCGTTGGGTGCAGGAGCCTTACCTAAAAGTTCACGGCCTGTCCCCGGCGCTTAATTACGGGCAGCAAGCCTTTGAGGGCCTACGCGTCTTTCGCAGCGAGTCAGGCAGCGTCCAGCTTTTCCGCCTAGCGAGCCATGCGGCCCGGTTCGCCCGGTCTGCCGCTGCCGTTGACATTCCGGCCATCCCGGCCGACTTGTTTGCCAAATCGGTGCGGTTGGCCGTTCTACTCAATAGCGACTTTGTACCTCCCTTCGAGGGCGGGTGCTCCATGTATGTGCGTCCAGTCGTTTTCGCAAGCAGCCCGACCATGAACATGTACACGGCGGAAGAGTACACGTTCGCCGTCTTGGTCACGCCGGTCGGGCTGCTGTACGGAGCAACGGGTCTCAAAGCGTTGGTTGTGGAGGGATTCGACCGTACGGCGCCGAAAGGCACCGGCGCCTTCAAAGTCGGTGGGAATTACGGGCCCACCATTCCCATCATGGGGCGGGCGCGAAAGCAAGGTTACGGTTTGACGCTTCACCTAGACGCCGAGACGCAGTCCTTCATCCACGAGTTCTCTGCTAGTGGCTTCATTGGAATCAAGGCAGAGTCTACGGAGACTGGAGCTCCGCCTACGATGGTCATTCCCAAAGACGAGCATATCCTCCCAAGTATCACGGTTAACAGCGTGGGACAAATTGCCCAGGAACTTGGATGGAAAGTTGAGAAGCGTCCCGTAAGTTTTGAGTTTCTTGTCTGATCCACCATCATGGGCCAATTGCTCCCTTCAACGTTCCGTGTGGGGGAGGACCAAAATCTCGGCGGAAGTTTTTGAGTTTTATGGGAGATTACCGCTAATGTCCCGGCGCCATGGCGTTAGATCCCGTTCACTGAGCTTGGCGAGTTTTCTGAAGTCTACACCGTCGGTACCGCATCATCGCTGGTGCCCGTAAGCGCGATTGAGCGCGAGTCGACTGGCGAGCGGTTCGCGTTTACCGTCGATGCGCAGTCTCCGC